CCCCGGCTTTCCTTCCATGGATGAGCACAGACGATGCATTACCGGAACGGAAGGGGCGTAAGCTCCCGCCTGCCGATTTAGGTGTCCGCTGATGCACACAGGCCCCTCGCCGAGCTCCGGCGACAGTGACACGACACAGCGCGCATGGGCTTCCCTCTGCCGCCGCTACGCACCAGCGGGCATCAGGGGGGAGGGGCACAGCCGCTGGTTTATGAGGCGTGGCTAATGTAGCGCGGCGCGTCGCTATAAAACACATGGCGACAGGCAGAACTGCCACGACAGTGGCCCCCCAGGCTCAGGGCCACGCTGTAAATCACAGCCGTTTACAAGGGTGGCCCTGCACCTGACAGCCAACGGCAGCAGCCTGGAGATGGTCACATGCAGGCTCGGGCAGCCTGATCGCCGCTGCAGACGCTCGTCAGCGCGCCTGGCTTTGTGCTCACCGTGCTGTGGGGATATCTGAGGGCGCTTTTCAGGCCCATACAATGTAAACCCCCATTTTATACAAATCTGTGACTGCAATCAAAAAACTGCAATCAAAAAACTTAAAAATTTTTTGTCTGGTTACTTACGGTTGCTGTAAGGTTAGGGCTGGGTAGGGTTAAGTCAGGATTAAGGTTATGTCCATAGAAATTAATGATATGAATATTAACACTATGCATGCTTTGTGTGTGATGTGTGTGATGTGAGTGTGCGAGTATGTGCATGCACACGTGTTTGTGTGTGCGTGCGTGTACACATATACATGTGAGTGTGCACGTATGGACTCACGTGCATGCATGTGTGAGTTTGTGAGTGAAGAGTGTGCAATGAGTGTGTGTGTGTGTGTGTGTGTCACGGACTGTGAAAATTCCCACAGGAGAGGCAGCTCTCAGATCTGACATTTGCTCACATCTACATTATGAATCTTCCCTCCCCGTGTTCTTCACTTGTGAAAGACACTTTAGAAACGCCAGTGTGATAATTCATCACTTCGCCGTTTCTGTTTTTTCTTGAGCCATGTTACCAAAAAAAGCCTCAGACTGCCTGCAAAGTGACAGCTCCAAGAAACACACACGAAAACAAAGGGGGGCACCTCGATTATAATTAGAGGCTGTGAGCGACTAATGGCTTGGCTGCAGCATGAAGACGGGTGCTGCTGTTAGTGACTGGCATCTATCAGCATCCAGGCAGGACCTAAGCAGGACTCGGCCTGTTTGCCGACGGCCTGCGTGACTCTTAAAGGCTGCAGGGGTCACATATGGGAGAGATGAGCGCGGCCTCAATCGGACCTTTAATCGCAGCCGTCGGCGACTCTGGGATACGCCCTTAAAGGCATGGCGAGGCAGGCACTCACAAACCAAGAGCAGAACACTAGTCTCAGACACACGGCCGGCCGGGCAGCCATTAGAGAGGAAGGGCAGCGGGCACTCACACACCCAAGGGAGCCGCGGGGGGAGCTTGCCCAGCGGGAGCTACTTTAAGACACAGGGCTGCTGCATTCTGGGACGAAGGGATGGGTGACATCGCACCACACCGTGACAGAGAAGCTCGGCGTAATCCGAGGGATTGCATGACGGAGGGCTGGAGTGGTAAAGGGGAGGAGGCATTAAACATTTATCCTTTTATTTTTTTCAGAGCGGGGCAAAGTGGAACGGAGCAGTGGCACGACTCTGCGAACAGCAAGCAGGAAGCGGCTGCTGGCTCCATCCCTATCGACATGCCAAAAGCCGGCCAGAGGAGGCTGAAGATGGAGAGAGAGCAGAGCAGAGCAGAGGGAAGCAGAGCCCAAGGTCATCTCCGTCTCCCTGCAGTGTTCATTACCCAGGGTTATTTATGAACACCCCCCATCTCTGGCTTCAATAATTCATATTCTGCAGTCTCCTGAGGCTCTACTCTCAGAGCTAGTGGAGGGGGGGGTATTAATCACAAGGTGAT